GTCACGTTGGTCTAGGAATGGCCAAACGTCAGTTGGGTCTGGACAGGGACAAGTGTCACGTTGGTCTAGGAATGGCCAAACGTCAGTTGGGTCTGGACAGGACCAAGTGTCACGTTGATCTAGGAATGGCCAAACGCCCCATTGTTCTGGACCGGGACAAGTGTCACGTTGGTCTAGGAATGGCCAAACGTCAGTTGGGTCTGGACAGGGCCTAGTGTCACATTGGTCTAGGAATGGCCAAACGACCCATGGGTCTGGACAGGGACAAGTGTCCCATTGGTCTAGGAATGGCCAAACGTCAGTTGGGTCTGGACAGGGACAAGTGTCACGTTGGTCTAGGAATGGCCAAAAGTCACATGGGTCTGGACAGGGTCAAGTGTCACATTGGTCTAGGAATGGCCAAACGTCCCATGGGTCTGGACAGGGTCAAGTGTCACATTGGTCTAGGAATGGCCAAACGTCACATGGGTCTGGACAGGGCCAAGTGTCACATTGGTCTAGGAATGGCCAAAAGTCCCATGGGTCTGGACAGGGACAAGTGTCACATTGGTCTAGGAATGGCCAAACGTCATATGGGTCTGGACAGGGCCTAGTGTCATATTGTGTCATAGACCGACCACACATAGCTTTAAACATAGACTGACCACACATAGGTTTAAACATAGACTGACAACACATAGGTTTACAAATAGACTGACAACACATAGGTTTACACATAGACCGACTACACATAGGTTTACACATAGACTGAAAACAGATGGGTTTACACATAGACTGACAACACATAGGTTTACACATAGACCGACTACACATAGGTTTACACATAGACTGACAACACAAAGGTTTACACATAGACTGACCACACATAGTTTTACACATAGACTGAAAACAGATGGGTTTACACATAGACTGACAACACATAGGTTTACACATAGACTGACAACACATGGGTTTACACATAGACTGACAACACATGTGTTTACAAATAGACCGATCACCGACTAGCGAGACCTATTATATGCAAATTGACGAAAGCATCAACAGGTTGATTAAAACACAACAATGTTGATAATTTTTTTTTTAACATACTTATATTGTTTACATTTTCTTTGTTAAATTTTAACATTAATTTATGAGCAAAAACATGGT